GTTTACAGCAACATTTCCTTGTGTCCAGGCTTGTCCTGGTCGCACCTTTCTCCAGTCTTTGCCATTTCCCAACATATTTCTGTTTCTTGGGAGGCTCCGCTGGCCAGGCGGGCCTCCCAAACGGAAGTTTTTTGTCTGGTAACATTTAATATTTCCGTTACCATTTGTTGGAAAACAGACTGGGTTTCGGGCTTTAGCTTGAAATGACATTGCAGCTTGAAATGACATTTTGTGCTCTTGTTGTAATTCTCGATGTTGCTTTAAGAACTCAACTACATCCCATAGGGTGTTGGCTCCAGCTAGCATGGTTGCCAACATCATTCTATGCTGTTCTGGTGCCCCTTTTATAATTATTCTCCTAAGCGCGGCTGTTAAGTGAGCACTTAAAGGGGATCCTTGAAACTGATTATAAATTTTGCTAAAAATAGCTAACTTCTTTACTATCTTAATCCCTTCACTGGGATTCTTCCACTGTACCTGGCCTTCAAAGACACCCCAATCTATATGTGGGATGGCCTCTGCCCAGGCTATTGCAATCCAATCCCAAAGTGTGCGTACCCTGTCAGGTTCCTCTTGTATAATCTTTGCTAAAGTGTCCGCAACACTCGGATTGTCTATCTGGATATTAACCACCTGCATCTCCTTGCCTGCGAGTCTTATAGACTCGCCTCCCTTACTATGAATTGTAAACAAAAAGTCTCCGTCGGTCTGACCTTTCTGTGAAAAATCTTGCCTTAACTGAACCATTTCAGGTCTAGTTAAGTCCCTAGTTTCAATAACTTGTTCCAACCCATCTGGGCGTCCCCGTCCGGGTGTGGATGTTTTAATTACTGAAACTGGCATGCTGGCCTTATCAGGAGCTTCCAGTTGGTTCAATATATCTTTCAAAAATGGGTTATTACTTCCATTTTTAAGGGCTTCTTTTACTAACCTTTTGCCTCTTAGCCTGTCATCATCTATATCATCTATAATTTTACATAATATTCCCGGGATTTCTTTCTTGTCAGCCCGTTCCATTATGGGCTTGACGGTCTGAGGATTACTTAATGTTACCTCAACTGTGGTTCCTTTCTGGAACTCAGGCATCTTTGCCTGAACAATTCTTTCAATACCTCGCCATGGCGATTGAGATTTTAATTCCTTTTGCTCGAGCTTTAGTTCTCCTATTCTACATTTCTGCCTAAATCTTTTTATTACTTCCTTGAAGCCCATGTTGCTATTTTTAAGAGGATCCTCAGTTTAGCTATATGAATTTTCCAAGCAATAAACCCGTTTGTTTCTATCTTATAAGGTATCTGACTTATTCCCTGATGCCAGCTATATAGTGCCCAATTTTCTATCCTTTCCTTAAGCCACCCCATGCACAGGGACCACCGTCCTCCTAAGGATTTTGGTGGGGGCACTCCCCTTTCATTCCACCTTCAGCCTAGACGCCGGACGATCACGGTCATTCTAGGTTTTCAGTAGAAGAAATTGTGCATTGCCATGTGGGTTATATTTACCTGCTCCGGAGCTCTTCTTCCGTATCCTGCCGACTACGCCAACTGTCACGAGCAGCTTCTCAGCCTTGTCTGGTTACCAGGAGTTCCCTTCCGGATATCTGCACTGGACCCCGGACCGCGACGTACGCGAACACCAAGCACGAACTCGATTGCCTTTTGAAATGCTGGTTTATTCGCACACCACACAAAGCAATACACGAGGTGGCTGGCTCACACTGCACGATCTTACTCTCAGGCGATGAGAGTTGATTGTGAGCAAATACATGGAGTTTCCCTCGCGCTTATATACTCTATATGTTTACAACAAACTTGTTTATGTCTAACTTATCTAACATAAGCACACTACCTAGTTACATCATCAACTTATCTAACATGGGCATACTATCTAGTCATCCTATAACCAAAAACATGTTTACAACTAAAAAGTCACTTAGTCACTGCAAAGTCCAAAACAAGTCCAAAACAAGTCCTTTTGCTGATTCATGTTGTTTATTCATCCTTGATGTTTACTCCTGTCACTGGGTTCAGAGCTTTAGCCGCTGAACTGGGGAAACTTCACAAGTTCCCTTGGAATCACAGCACAGTCCAACGTCCAGATGTACCATGTTCACAAATTCAGCAAGGAGCAGAAGGCATCCTTCAGGATCGAGGGCCAGTGTGCCCCGTTCTCCGCCATGCCACACAGCTCCAGTCATCCACCTGTGTGGTTGACAGCATGGCTGAGCTTAGGCACTGTGCCTAGCAAGAGGCTGACATTCCTCGTCTTCTCTGGCACCTTGCGCTCCCCACTCAATCTCTCCCTTCTCCCCACTTCCCAGACACACAGGTAGTCAGAACCTTCTTTTCACCACTTCCAACTAAGACAGCTCAAGGGAAATGCCAGATTTTAAAAATCAGACTTACAGGCTGGGATATAGCTCAGTTGGCAGAGTGTTTGCCTCGCATGCACAAGACCCTGGGTTCAATCTCCAGCACCACACACACACAAAAAAAACAACCTTGCAAATAATAAACAAATTAAAATAACACCTTCCTTGTTCCCATACTTAAGGGACTAGACAGAATTATATAGATTCTAGAAGTTTTCCTTAAAAGAAGGAAAAAGATATGGCTTGGGGAAAGGCCCTTAAACTCTCAATGCCTGGTGGTCTTTACAATGACTGTTACAATGATTATATAAGACTGTGAATGTTCTTATGCTGTCAAAAGGGAAAGGGACTCAGGACAAGAAAGTGATTCCAGAATTCTGGCCTAGGGCCTGATCAGCCTGCAATGTGCAACTCATTAGCATAATGAAGAATCATATGCGGGAAAGGTGCATGACACTTCCAAACAGGATTTGAAAGATGGCTGGGGAGCATCTCAGGAAGGTGACCCAGGGAGTTCCCAGTATCTCTCCACATAAGTAGGTTCCAGGTCACTCCTGCTCCCTTATACCCCAAGGTGACCTACGCCATCCCAATGAGATAGTGACTCCAGCATGCTTTGAACACCAAGCAGATGCCATCTGGGCAATTTAACATGGAGGTCCCACAGTGTACGGTAATTAGTCAGTTGTTACAGTTTCCAGAAAGAAAGTGTGATGCCAATTAGGTTGTCAAGGCTGATGAGAATGGACAGTATAAGTGGAAACCATCTCTTGGGCAGCTTAGGGACAAGAATATCCTTCAGGATAATGACAGCATAGACCATACACGCATGGTCACACAGCCTTGGGTGGAGAGACTAAGGGTTTCCAGGAGAGAATGAAGGTGGAGTGAGGCACAGGCCAAGCATGAAGGCTCTGCAGGGACCATGTGTGGGGATCTTGTGCAGTCATGGCTAAGGGTGAGGACCCTGATATCTCGGATTCAAATTGTGGCTTCACTACATAGTAACAGTGTGTCTGTGACCTTGGTTAAGGTACTTGAGATGCCTGGCCCAGTATTCTCAACTTACAAATGAGGCTAACACTCATGATGGCTATTCCACTGGGATGTGGTGAGGATTCGTGGAGAGTGCCACAGTGTATTGGCACAGTGTTGGCACTGGTGATTGTTGCTCAATGGATGCCCTGCTGAGGCTGGAGTGGGGGGGCATGCACACTCATCCCAGCTCCTATGTTCCCATCCACAGGCTCCTCTACCCATTTGTGGGGAAACAGGTGCTTTCATGCTAAAGATATCTAAAACCCAACTCTTATGAGCTGGTCACATGGACCACTTTGAACAACAGCACTGGGGTGGGTTTGTGTCCCCCCGCCCACGTTACTTTAGGAGATGTTTTAAATATTCCCTACTCTCCTCAGCTCACATCTTCCCCTGATGCCAACTTTTTTTGAGTGCTGACCCTTTGAGAGATGGATGACTGCTAGGATCTTTTTGCCCAAATGGTGTGTATCCACACCTGCTGCATTCTGCACTTTACTTCAGGGGCTCCATGAACAGCAGAATTTGAACCCTGTTCTAGCTGTTCAGAGACTGTGAGACATGTCTCAGCTACCTGCTTCCTCCCTTGGAAGTCACTCCTGTAAATCACCAAGGGGCAGAGGAACCTGCTTTTCTAATCACACTGAGAAAATTGCTGTTCAGAACAACGTCTTGGGTGTCAGTATTCCTATGAGAGTCACAGCCCTAACAGGGCCATGGGATGGAACAGGAGCCCTAGGAAACAACAATGACATCAATAATTCTTTACATGCATTATCTTATTTAATTTTTCAAAGACCTTCAGGATGGTGATACTATACATCTTGCAGATGAGGAATTGAGGCACGCAGAGATTAAGTAACTTGCCCAAAGTCAGACAGCCCCAGAACCTCACTATCAACCAATAAATTTTTGGCCACCTAGTGACATCTCGGTTACAATACTCCTATCTCCTATTAGGGTGAGCGTTCAGAATGAATACTCTTCAGACTGAACCTATGTAAAATCAATGCTTAAAAGATGGAGAGAGGTCACAGGCAGGCCTGGACCTGTATGAATTAGGACAGAAACTATTTCCTTGAACCCCAGCTAAGCGGTCATGGGCATCTTTGAGACAATGATTGGACCACTGTAAAGAATTGTGGGACCCTACTCCTTGCTCAACCCACAGCTCTGCAGAAGGTGGGTAGCGGAACCTGGGAAGTGATATTATAAGCTCCCAGTGATGTTCTGGCTCCTGGGGCGGGCGGGGGGACGACATGCACCCCCAGAGGCTGACCTGTGACAAGCGGCCTATAGACACACCAGGAGAGGAGTGAAGGATGGACAGCTTGCCCTGTGGGAAGAAGGTGTGAGAGAGAACTGGAGGCGCAGGGCCACCTGCAGGAGGACTGAGCAACCTTCCAGGGAGGGAGGAGGAGGGAGGAATGCTGGCTCTGGCAGGGAGGAAAGGCGGGAGCCGAGGGAGCCTGAGGATCGGTTCAGGCAGTGAGAGGGCAGCCCCACTGTATTTCCCAGGCTGCTCTCTGGGATGCGGGCAGGAAGGTTGAGTGTATTACACTGGCCCCACCTCCCGAGGCTCTCTCTGCAGCTGCTGGACTGGACACAAAAGCGTGAGAGACAGAGACACCATCTCTGCTAATTTGTACCAAACTCTGGCTCCTGTTGCTGAGAGACCACATGTGACAAAAGCCAGGGCAGGGGGCCCCCACGTCGCTGTCTGCATTTTCCAGGTAAGCAACTGTTTGTGTCCCAGCCAGAAGTGAAGAGCAAGGCTTGAAGGCAGTGGGCAGAGGAGAATGTGGGAGGTGGCTGCCTGGGATGGACTTAGCGCAGTCAGGAAGGGGCAAAGGGAGAGGGGCCGGGGCCAGGAGCTAGAACAAGCCTGGGGCAGGCTTCTGCACAGTGTCCACGTATGAGGTCGGGGAGCTGGAGGCTGTACCGGAGTCACTGCTGGCTGGAGGGTGTGGGCGAAATTCCAGGAAAGGGCTGTGTTCTGACAGCCTCAGGGGGCCAGCACATCTGGAGAGCAGAGGGGCCAGCTACACCATAGCATCACTGTTCCTCTTCCTGACCAGGTATATTTATGCAGACTTTGCCAGAAAAATCCCACTCTGGGCCCCTGCCCTCCTCCTAGTTTTCTGGATGGTGGAGAGAGAGAGCCTTGGGCAACTACAGAAGGGGGAAAGCCGGATGTATGTCTTTGCTGGGGCCATGGCTTCAGTCAGAGGAGAGAACCCTGATGGGAAAAAGGCCATCTCCTGTCAGCCTCCTGAGAAGGAGTTAGTTGGTTGAAGGCTGTGTGCTGTCCTGAGGAGGCTCCTCGGTGGAACAGAGGCAGGGAGTCAGTCCCAGGCTGTGGAGAACAGGGTACGTGTGTGCTGGCTATGGGGTGGGGAAGGAGTGACGCAAGAGTCTGTGGAACAGTGCCACAGGAACGCGCACGGTGTGTCGCAGAAAGAGGAAGAGACTTCAGAAATCTATTTGCATACAAGTCCCTTTGCTGTACCTGCTGGGGACCACAGCTCCTAATCAAGTATGCTAGTCTGTAAGTCATATAAAGTTGACTGGTCTTGTGTCCCCTCTATGAATAACACACATGCACGTACGTACCTCTCCTCTCTAAGATTTGCTATGATACAAATATGACAAACTTGGTTTCCTGTCAAAAGAGTGCCAGTTACACCCTGACAGGTTATGGGGATAGAGCCTCAAGGTAAGAGGAGTGACCCAGGGCATAGGGGACAAAAGGACGTGAGACCCCGAATCCAGTCGTGACTGCAGTGTGTCTTCCTTTTTTTCTACTCTGGCTTCTGTACCCAGAGTAGAAAGTGAGGATTCCCCCTGTCTGCTCCCCACTCCACAAGCAGAAACTGTGGGGTGAGCAAACAGGAAGGGGGGAAGACACTTTGATGAGACGGGGACACCTAATAGGACGCGCCAATGAGAGAGCAGGGGAAGGTGGTGGAGGCAGAGAAAGAGCTTGCAGAAGGTAAATACTCGGTGACTAACACTCCTGACCACCCCAGGCAGCAGTCTCTGCAGCATGTGTCCTGGCTCTGACAGTCAGCCCTGGGCTCTCTCTCCGGCGAAGGGCAATCTGGGTCAATGAGAACGGGGAGGAACCCAGCAGTGAGGCCTTGCAGCCAGCATCCCTTGGCCCAGAAACACAAGGGGCTTTGATGCCTGCAGAGTGCAGTGCTCTTCCCCCCAGGATGCTGTGGCCACTCTTGGCAGGGCCCAACCCCAGGGCAGGCTCAGTCTGGAGGCCACAGCTGGGAGGTGGTATGGCTCCACAGGTCTTAACATAACGGTCTTGGAATTAGAAAGAAATTAGAGGGCTGCTGTCTGTGAGCTGTGTGGCCTTGAGCAGGCAAGCCTCAGTGTCCTTTCCTATAAAATGGAAAGAATAATATAATAATGATAGCCTCAATCTTAAAGGTTTCTGGAAGTCCTAAATGAAGGCATGTTTGCAAAGTGCTCAACATAGTTCCTGGCTCCTAATGTGTTCCCAGAAAAATGGGAACTGCTAATATTAACGCTTCTGGGATTCTCAGAAGGTTCCCTCCAGACCAGTGCAAACTCAGCCCTCTGTCAGCAACTGACCTCCCTGAGAGGCCCTCAGAAGTTGGCCTCTCAGGCCAGCAATTCCTGTTAAATGTGTCACTCACAAAAGCAATGCTTATTAACCAACCCTTGGCAGGCTTTCCCTGTGTCTTCAAGCTAAAATAAAATCAATTTGAAAATAAAACCCAGATGGCTCCTGTGTCTGGTACCTCGCTGTCAAAGCCTTTATGCTGGGCTGCTCAAGTTGGGGAACATGCACTCCTGTGCTATGTGGGGGTATGCCAGGAGTACATGATGTGTGGGGTACATGGGGCACACTTGGAGGGAAGGTTAAGCATTTCAACTGAAGGTAACTTAGATGTTTATTACATGGCACTGAGCATAAATTCTCATGGATGTTTAAGACAAAGCATTATTTCTGATAGTTCACGTTGTCTGTGGGTGTTTACGTTCACGCTCCCTGGCTGTCAGGGGCTCTTCATTGCAGACCTGAGAAGCCTTGCTCAAGCAGTGAGGGGCAGCTGGTATCTTTTGGGGAACCCACCTGATTTCCTCTTGACTTGACTCCATACTCCTAGGGGCTACTCCTTGTCTTCAGAGGAGATGACCTACACGGCTCAGTGCCTGGGAGGTGGCCCTAGCTGGCACCTTCACCAGACAGCACCTTTGCACTCCTATCAGGGACAGCTTGGTGTTCAGGTTCCAGACAGGGGGACAATGTCAGAGTGTCTAAGGATGCCCAGAGCTCGAGTCCTGCCTTCTCATCTAGCCTTCATCATGCCCACAGAGGACCTGTGTGACCTGTGAGGTGTGAGCACCCTGGACTGAGCAGGACACAGCTGGCACCCAGCAAAAGTCCCCCTGCCCCTGACCATTCTTGACAGCATGGCTGTCTGGGGCTTCTAGAAAGTGGGATTTCCAAAGGGAACAAGGATGACTGAGGCATTTTCAGCAGGGCCCAGCTCCTCCTGCCCTTGGGGAGGCTCAGCAACACGCCTGGCAGGTTACCAGTTGGAAACAGAGCTATAGTGAGAACCTCAGTCCCTCTGGTTATGAAAGTCTAAGTACACTCTTTGTGATTTCCTCTTCACACCTCCCTTTTTGCAGGTATCCTGAGCCAAGCAAAGGTTCTTCCCTGGAAGAGCAGACAACAGAAGCTCCTGCTGCACAACATGGCAGAAGGGGACTCCCAGGACAGGTGGGGCAAGGGGTCCCTTGGCAGCTTGACTCATGACAACCAGATGTTGAGCATGAACTTAAAGAGTGAAGATGAGGATGGTGGGGAGGCAGGAGATACAGGGGACCCTGGTGAGCAGGCTCCTCCAAGGGGCAGCTCCCCAGTAAATCACCATTATCCTGACTTGCAGTGGCAGAGTCCCTCGTTCAAGGAGGAAGAGAGCTTCTCTGATCCTGTTAGTGCTGGAGACATGGGGGAGAAACCTATAGAGATGCCTGGAAAGATCAGCTGGGAAAGAGAGGAGTCAAAGATCACCCTGACTCAGGAGTACCCTGAAGCAGGTGCAGCTTTGGGTGCCCTTCCTAGGGGCCTCTCACACAAGTTGGTCGGTCGTTTGCAATCTCCTAGAGACTCACTACCTGTGGGGGATGATGGAGGCTCCAAGGCAAACCAGGACACATCCTTGGATGTCCCATCCAGCTTCCTGGACAATGAAGAATATTTCTGTGCACAGAAAGATATAGACACATCTCCAGACAACTCTCCGGAGTGCTTTCCTGGAACAGATAGCATTTGGGATCTCCCTACACAAGAGACAAAGGCACAGGACCAGGGATCTGCCAATCCAGCCTGTCTGGCAGCTGCAATGTTGGCAAAAGTGCGGAGCAGCAGAAAAGACCAGAACCCAGCTGCTGAGCCAGACCCCAGGCAGGCAGAGGGGCATCCCTACAAATGCCTGCGGGGCGGAGAGGCCTTCCAGAAGCCCCGCGAGCTGCCTGGAGCTGCAGGACGCGGCAGTGCCAAGCCCTACGCTTGTGAGCTGTGTGGAAAGGCCTACTCCCACCGGGGCACGCTCCAGCAGCACCGGCGCCTGCACACGGGCGAGCGACCTTACCGGTGCCCCTTCTGCGACAAGGCCTACACCTGGTCCTCGGACCACCGCAAGCACATCCGCACCCACACGGGCGAGAAGCCCTACCCATGCCAAGACTGCGGGAAGGCCTTCGTGCGCTCCTCGGACCTGCGCAAGCACCAGCGCAACATGCACAGCAACAACAAGCCCTTCCCGTGCTCCGAGTGCGGCCTGACCTTCAACAAGCCGCTATCATTGCTGCGCCACCAGCGCACGCACCTGGGCGCCAAGCCTTTCCGCTGCTCTGCCTGTGACCGGGAGTTCGCAGTGGCCAGCCGCATGGTGGAGCATCAGCGCGTGCACTCTGGCGAGCGGCCATTCCCTTGCCCCACCTGTGGCAAGTGCTTCACCAAATCCTCCAACCTGTACGAGCACCAGACCCTGCACACAGGGCAGAGGCCCTTCAAGTGCGCTGACTGCGGTGTGGCCTTCGCACAGCCCTCGCGCCTTGTGCGCCACCAGCGAATCCACACCGGTGAGAGGCCCTTCCCTTGCACACAGTGTGGCCAGGCCTTTGCCCGCTCCTCCACCCTGAAGAGGCACCAACAGATTCACTCTGGAGAGAAGGGATTCCTGTGTGCCGAGTGTGGCAGGGCATTCCGCATTGCCTCGGAGCTGGCTCAGCACATCCGGATGCACAACGGGGAGAGGCCCTACCAGTGTGAGGACTGTGGTCAGGCCTTCACCCGTTCCAACCACCTCCAGCGACACCGAGCCAAGCATGACACCTGCAAAAAGGAGCCCATCCCTTCCTCCTCTGATGAGTGAGGGCGCAGTTGGCTAGTTCCCGGGGGAGGCAGACACGAGGAACCTCACTGCTTGGAACCCTCTCTCAGGGCCCCACATGGTGTGACCAGCCAGCCTCACTGGTCAGCTGTCTCCCGGGGATTGCTGGTCCCAGGGTGGTCTGTCTCCATATTTTATTTGTTGTCATAGAAAGGAACCACAAGGATGGCTCTGTGCGAATTCACGCCTGTCTTCCGTGGCTCAGAGCCAGATGCAATATGAAAAGGGTGAAATAGAAGAGTAGGAGATGGTCAATAGCTGAGTTCCTTGGGTCAGGGGACCTCAATAAATCAGAAACTATATATAGAATTATTTGCTGGGTACTGTGAATACAGAGAGGAAAAAGATTATCCTGTCCTGCCCTCAAAGCCATACGTAAATACTGAGAAGGCATGTATGGTTTTTACACAATAAAGGAATCCCAGAAGTGGTCCCTGTGATGAGCTCTTATAAAGAACAAAGCCTAACTGGGGTAACTGAATCCCATATAGACACGTCGTCCTTTCAGTTCACTGATGAAATGACTTTACTTTTGGGAAATGTCTCCATGAGTTTTGACTTTGAAGTGGAAAAGGCCTTTACCTTATAAAGGGGTTGGGGGTGGGATATGTCCTATGTTTAAGGATCAGTTATCCTGGAAGTTCAGAACAGCCTGCGTCCCACCCACAAAATTCATATGTGCATCCTCTCTGTCTACCTCTTTTTCTGCTCCCACCCTCCAAGTTTAATCATATGTAATATTTGCAGAGGAAGTGGCTTTTTCTTCCCATTTACAGGGAAGCACAGAAATTTCTCCAGATAGGCTGAACTGGCTCATGAAAACTTTTGGGTTCATTTAAATTTGCCTAGATCATTAGGTCTGATTTGAAGCAAATAAAGCATCCTTTGCCCAAGTGCCTGTTGGCTTGTTTGTTTTGGTTTCAAAGCCTTAAAATCAGGTATGAAAGTCTTCATGACTCACCTTTGTCTTCTAATGGGATTATTCAAACTTTGCATTACTGATAGCCATGTATTGATATGTATACTGATTTTGGTGAAGTCAATAGTTCTTTTTTTTTTTTTTTAATGCTCTTTGACATCTATAAAGAAGAGATTTTGAAGTTTTTTTTTTTAATTTTTTTTAATTGTCAATGGACCTTTATTTTTATTTATTGATATGTGGTGCTGAGAATCAAACCCAGTGTCACATACATGCTAGGCAAGCACTCTGCCACTGAGCCACAACCCCAGCCCCAAGTCAATAGTTCTTAACTCAATAGTTATTAGTCAGCTGGGAGGAATCTTATGATTTCTCAGAGAGCCTTTGGTGCACACAGGCAAAAGGCACATCTCATCATACCAAAGTTAAGTAAGATATTCCACAAGTAAGTCTAGTAATGCTTTCCTTTTGTGACTATCTTTAGTACATTCCAAAAATTGCCACTAAAATATACTAAATCTGAATTTCTCTTGAATTCTACTTGATTTTGACCAGGGTGTGACTGCCAAATCATATTCTCTGAATTTGTAGAAAGCCATGTGTATGTGGGTGGGGGGAGTAATATACATAGCTGTGCCTGATTGAGAAAAGTGACCTTAGTAAGACAACTTCGGTCAGCTTCGGTCAAAAACCCTGGAGGGTTTGTGTGTTCCTCCCTTAGATATATCTGCATGTCCACAAGACAGAGTTAGTCTTAGTTTATCCTTGTTATTTATCAGTGAACTTGGGCTTTTGCTTCTGGGATTGCATTGTCGAAATAGGAATGATGATAATAGGCAATAAAGGTTGGAGCCATCCTAATAGATGACAGGAACTGTGGCTGAATGCAAGAGCATACAATTGGTTGAGAAGTCACAAGAATGAACTTGTGAATGAACAGAGCAAAGACTAGTAGTATATTTATTTCTGGGCAATCAGCAAAATATTTGAAGACTGAAACATTATTCTTTTTCTCTGTATTCTTTTTTGAGAATGGTTGTCAGTATGATTTACACTAACTTAAAAATTTAGATTGTTTCTATAGTTTTTTAAAGGAGTTGTCCCCAAAACTAATTCATAAAGTGGCTGCATGGGAATCATCTCACTGTTTGTTAACCATGAAGCTTGCTGAATCTTTACCTTGAACACAGATACAGGTCTGCGGTGCAATATCTGGTATGGCTTCCCAGATGGGCGCACCTTTGGGAAAAGAGTGAATGTACTTCTTGTTAATAGGCAGAAAAACTGGCATAGCTTGTGCTAGGTATCTTTGGTGCTCTATACTATGTTTCTGGAATATAACGGGTAGAATGTACTGACTAGGCCAAAGAGAAGTTCATTAATTATTCAAGCTTATCACATTTAAGCAAGTCACATTTTAAGGAAATTTGTCCCAATCATTCTTTTCTGACATAACCTGCCAAGATTATGCTGAGTCGGTTTTGGGGAAAAGCAATCTCATTCTGTAGTCACAGGTCACAGGGTACACAAATGGAAAGTAAGAACAAAGCATGGACAGGGACAAAAGAGAAGCCAACCAGTGAGAGGTAGCCTGGCACAATTTTGCTCAATGGAGCATGACGGTCCAAAGCGGGGGCAATTTAGCCATTTCTTTGGAGAAGAATCAGTGCTTGAGGACAGGAGGATATCCTAGCCTAGATTGTCGCCCTAAATTATGCTGAGCTACTTTTTTGGCCTTCTATAAACCCATACCACATTACAATAAACCATCTTATTTTCCTATTGTATAATTAAAAATCAGAGAATGGCCTTCTTTGTGACAGCATTTAAAGCATCTCTTGGGACTAATGCTGTTTCCACAATTTAGTTTGCCAATATTGATTTAAACATATATGTTCATTTATTAGGTTCCCACTTAATAAAAACTCACCTGATGGATTCACCAGAGACTATGATAATCCTGACCCACATCCTTTAGATTATAATGAGAAGAGTCGATACTTACAGACTGCTCAGTATGTGCCAGAATTATTCTAAGTGTTTTACACATATTCAGAATTTAATTTTAAAAGAAAATTTTGGTGATTATTATCCCCATTTTTTTTAAGATGAGGAAATCAAGGGACAAAGAAGTTAAACTGTCCAAGATATCATAGCTAGCAAGTGACCGGCATAGTCATGATTTAGCATTTAGGCATGCTTGCCCCAGAGACTGTGTTCTTCACCACAGGGCCAGCTGCCTGTTTGGTATGGAAGGATATTCTGTAATTGTTGATGATTTGCAGTTTTAAAGCACAAAGCATTAATTAAAGAGGAAAGTTGAAACCCAGCACAGCAGAAATCATGGTGTGCTGGGAAGAAGACCTGTAAATTACTTAAGAAGGAGTTTGGGAGAGCGTGGGTTTGGCAGCTACTAAGCATTAATTGCTGGGGAAGATTGTCAAAAAGCTGGTCATAAGGAAGGGATTGGAGGCAAAGGAGGGATGGTCCCTTAAAGACCCACCAGTGTTTCACATCTCTGTGTAAAAACATAGTGTCCCTGGGCTGCACACAAAGCAATCTATCAGCAAGGAATCTTGGCACTCAACATTTACACACATCTTGTAATCTCAATGCATATACACAGAAAAGCTATATTATCCTGGTATGAATACCATAGATCAACCAGGAAATCCAACAAGACCTTAAAAAAATATTGTTCAGAAGAAAATCTTTGTCAAGCATCAATTTAATTGATAGAATGCTAAAGTAGATGCCATTGCTCAATTCAGAAGTAGATGAAGAATACAAACTCAATGACCATGAAAATATTGCCCCAAATGGAAGGACTTACCATTTCATCACACCAGAAGAGGGTACCTGTTTCAGTTGACAGGGAAGCTCCTTTTAACCCTCCATCCCTCCTACCTGAAACCATGCCAGTACAATTTTCTCACCGTTGCTGGATAATATTTTATATCTCTTTCTCCTTTTTGTTTTTTGTCCTTACTCCCCAACTCCCAAATTGGTTCAGAGTTTCACTGACCTAGGAGTAGAACTCAGTAGGTCAGGCACTTAGTAGATTGATACCATGACAGAATGGAGCTTCTGTAAAACACAAGTTAAAACTAAGATTTAAAGAAAAACAAACTTCTCACATCAAGCAAAGTTGTAGAGGAGGCTGAAAATGAGGGGGAAAAAATTCCTGTTGTGGTAATTCAGATGAAGTCAAGTAGAGATAGGGATGAGTTGTGGAGATGCCAGGGATTTCAGACATGGCTCAACAGGGCTTGGTGAAAGGATAGTAATAGCTATGCTTAGTGAAATCTTTTGAGGAGGAATCTTTTGAGGATGTGAAACTGGGCATTGAACTCGGGGCCTTGTGCATGCTAGGCAAGTGCCTTATCTCTGAGCTACATCCCCAGCCACAGTGAGTCCTCTTTTAGGGTCAAACACTGCATTTATTATCTCTATTATTCCTTGCAAGGATCTGGTATGGGAGACCCTTGAAAACTATTCCCACATGGAGTCTGCATCAATTTTCCTTTTTAGGAAAGCAGAGAAGATTAATAGGTCATGGCTATTGTGTGTTATTACTAAGCAAGGATCACTAAGATCCACATGTCCTTCTAAAAGATAGGCTGCTTGTCTGCAACAGGGGAACGTGCAGAAGTCCCTGCTTTTTGATTTATAAGTCACAATTGCTGACATTTTTATTACTCACAATTGTGGTTGTTTGAAAAATATGTGCACACAAATTTTGACACTCATCTCTTCAAGAAACAGAGTCTAATTTCTTTTCCTTTTAGTGTGGGCTGGACTTAGTGACCTGATTCTAATGATGAGAAGGCTAGATCATAAAAGGTATCAGGGTTTCCCACTTGAACTTCCCCCACCCCCACCCATCACTTGCTCTGGGGAAGCTCACACCTTGGCATGAGCAGCCTTACAGAAGGGCTCTATGGCTAACAACTGAGCTTTTCTGCTAACCAACAGCCACAAACAAATATGGTAGATCATAGGGATACCAGCTCAGGTAAGGTCCCACCACTTCATCACAGGAGAAAGACCCCTCTCCAGAGTGTGTCTGTTGGTATCTTTTTTTTTCCTTAAAGAACACAAGTTGGCAAATATCTTATGTAAATGTTTAAGTCTTTATGGGACTTATTTAATCTATCACATATTGTTTGTTTATTTACAAAACTTTGTAAATGTGAATGCCATTCTTGGCTCATTGGTCATACAAAAACAGACTTGTATTTGGCCAAAAGACCAAGGTTTAACAACCCCAGCTTTAGAATATGATCTATGTCAACTATTTAGGATCCTGGCTCTGCTACCACTTGATCCTGGGGCCTAGGAGAAATCATTCCGCCATTCTATGTTCAGTTTCTATTGGAAGCCAATTCTCCAGGGGTCTTCTCACATTTTTGTACATCTCTGCTCCAGTTTATCTTTTCAAGGATATTAGTAAAGATTACGGCCTTGGAAGAGAGACAGCACACAGCTTCTGTCCCCAGAAGTCCATCACAACTGTCATTGCCAAGGTCACTGAGGACCTTCTTGCCTTCAATCCATGGATACCTTTAAGTCTGCATATATATTTTTTTTGGTTCCTCTGCATCATTTGATAGTGTAACTATCATTGCTTTCTTGAAATGGTTTCATCCTACAATTTCTCTGATAACAAATATTCCAGATCTCCTACCTGTGTAGTAGGGCTTTCTCACCTACTCTCATCTTCCTCAAAGATTTTAAAATTCTCCTCTTTGCTTTTTTTTTTTTTAATTGTTGTTTGCCTGTTTTGCTTTGTGCTCATTTTCATTCTCTTCTACACTGTGGGTTATGCACTCAGTGGCTTTGGTTCTCTTGGACATGAGCATATTAAACTACTCTTTGGAGATCCCACTGGCATCTTAAAATCAGCTCATCTAATACTGAACTTATCATCTTTAACCATTAAATATATTTTGCCTGGTTTCCTATTTTATCAAA